GGGGGGGCAGCACCGTGTCTGAGAACCTGTCAGGAAGAGGCTTGATTTTGGTAGCCTCATTACCATCCGATGCCGAACGGGCTTTCCCCCGTTTTTTCTGCTTTCTAAGCCCCACTGACCTAGAACCCGAAATCCCAGAGAACTCATTCAAGCGAGACTCAATTGTCGAAAAGGGCCCAAGATCGAAGCACCAACGTGTGGCGCTCCCTGTGACACCACCCTCGTACGCGTGAGTGCGACGACCTAAGGATAGATGTCCCTGCTGCACGTCTGACCGAATGAACCCAGGCTTGCGTCATTACTATTCCGATGGCGATTCCGATTATGTCCTTACCGCATTTGCCTTAACATCTTCAACCCCTGACGCAATATGTTGAAACTCTCTGTACCTGGCTAGTTACGAGCGTTTCTCTCGTAAGGAATCCCTGCAATCATGAACGAAGACTGTGTGCCTTCCAAGTCAATTACGTGACTGACCTGCGGTATGTGTAGACCAACTGTTCGACAAAATCAAATTGAATTGAGCTATATTACAGGCGATTGGTATGATAATAACAATTAATACTCGAAACTGCTCGCGATAAAATCGATTATTATTTCAAGTTCCTCATGCTACTCGACCTACACTTGCACCTCTCTCGATCGTCAGACTGCGAAGTGATTCTGAGACGTCGTCGCCGCAGGCAGGGTTGCCAGAGTGGATCAGCCGCTCTGGCAACCCTGTCTGTATGCGATGCTGAGTCGTTTTCAATCCGGTTCCGACGCTGTCAGCGTTGTTTCTCCGTATCGTCTAATCGTCTTGGACCTTTAATCTGTTTGGATAGACGCTCTTACGAGTTCATGGGTCAAATTTCGGCATCTAAATGTTGACCTTTTGTGATGTGGGTTTGTAAGTTACTGATTTGCTTGTCTGCCTACATTTGGATTTTTCAGTTGCGGTTTGGTGCGATGTTTGCAGCAAAATGATAATTGAAAACCCAATTAGAGAGAATAGAGATTTTCAATTAAATTTTCTGAACACTTCTCCATTTTAAAATCTTTTCAAGCCAGTTAAACGGCAGCCAAAAGTACTTGTACTTATCAATCCAAAAGCTTCTTTGTCATATAAACATCAAAATATCCAGGTGAACACGCACCAGACTTGCCAAACTCGAAACTTGATATGATCTGAAATTCCTCATACTCTCCATATACTTGCAGGGAAATCGATTTTGTGTGCAGTGCACACAACCGAGTTTGAAACTGATTTGTGTCTTCTCTGGACACTCTCCGATTAACAAAACGCACAATCACGGCAGTCTCGGAACGGCGGCAGTCTATTCCAGATATTTGCTGAAATAAAACGATTACTTCCACTCTCGCCCGACATTCCGATTGACAAGAATCACAATATGTGATTTAATCTTTGACCTACACACGGATGGGACGAAAGTGCACAGGGGCGACTTTCCACGCCTGATTTTCAGGACTTATACCCATTTCTGCTTCAACCTTTAAAAAGGGGAGGCAAGGTCAAGTCCCAGTTTCACTATCCCTCCTGTGAAACGGAAACTGATATATGTCCAGAAGAGCCACTTAACATTTGTTAACTCGTGGCTATGATTTAGAAGGAACAATCACCCGATCTCCCAGTCTCCAGCATGGAGACTGGGAGTGCCAGGATAAAGAAGAAAAAAAAATGCAGGGACTGGGAGGCTCGGATACACCGTCTCCAGAATCAAATTATCAATAGGATGTCCATAAAAAAAACTTACACTGTTGAAGTTCGATATCGCCGGAACGGCAAGGCATAGGACAGTGAAGTTTTAGGGGGATACTCAGGGGGTCATGGGATTTTATTTGAGACTGTTTTGCAAAATTTTGTGAAAAAATTTTCTCTTAGCAGTATTGAGCCACTACTGAAAGTATGCAATAATTTTCGGTCATAGAAAAGTCATGAATTTGACTAACAAGCAGAGAGGCGAACTAATAAAGCTCTTCTACACCAATAAGCGTAATGCTGTTTTTGCCTTACGAAAACACCACACAACCTGCGTTTGGGGTCCTGCTCGAGACAAGCTCTGATGAATTTGGTCGATAAGTTCGAAGAGACGGGTTGTGTTTGCAACAAGCCGCATGGAGGCAGGCCGTGAACCCCTGTAGATGTCGCTGAAATCAGAGGTGCGATTGACGAAGAGCCTGAAGAGCTTATGAAGATCAATAATCATTGGTCTTCATATGACCAATGATTTCTGAATCCAGGAGGGACTCTAGTTTCTATACACTCCAAGCCACTTTCAGTATCCATCTTACATAGGACGAGAAAGCGAAACTGGGAATTAACCTTACCCCCCCCCACTTTTAAAGGGTTAAGGCAAACGACACAGTCGCGAAATCGACGTTTGGAAAGTCGCCACTCTCACCCCCGTCTATCGAGATGAGATAAAGGGGAAAATTGAGCGATTATCATTCAATTCAGTCTCGGGGGCGAAAGTTAATGGGGACGAATGTGGAAGATACCAATAAAACCAATAAAACACTCATGACGAAGTTAATTTTTTCTTGCTCTCTCAGGCTCAGATGTGAGATTAATGGCAATTTTGTTTCTACTCGACAGGAAAAGTGCATTACTTATTTCGAATTTCAAGTCGGGATAATACGCAGAAGGACTCTTGGAGGTGATTCGCTATTAGCATAATAACAAACCGGATGGATTAAAGCTTAGAAAAAATTAGTTTTTTGCAGAGTAAAACATCCATTAGTCGGTATTTATTGCAAAGCAAAAAATTATAATCTGAATATTGACGTCGGATGAAGCACAGCCGATATAAACTCATTGCCTCCTTTCGTTATTGGCGACTGCAGACGAGCACTGCGTTTCAATGCTAATTTCGTATTGGCTGCAAGACCTAACCGACATGTCTCTTCCATGGAACGACGAGGAGTCAAATCCTTTTCGTATTCCTTGAGTATCAGCGGAAAATTATTGCGTTTTCCTGGATCACAATTCTGTAACAGAGAAAGGCAGGATTAGTTAGCGCATGCTAAGAGGGTAAATGCAGGAATGATACTGGAAAGTACGGCAATTTTAGTACTGCAATATGGATGGAATTAGTAAGAGGGTGTGAGAAATTTTTGACCAACCCTCGTATGTCTTTCTTATCCATCCCCTTGCCATAGTCGACCAGTGAAAGATGTCAAAATCTGCGTTGCTGCACGGCCTAGTCGAAGTTTTAGCCATTACGTTACGCTACATTAAAAAATAGATGGATCGAAACCAGACAACAATCCGGCCCGAATTTGAAACCAGCCGATGACGTGGTGGTCTACATAATTATAGCTGACGTTTGCCAGTTAAAGGCGGATTTCTCGCAACCCGACCCGATGACCCTCATTCGAGTCTGGGCCCACCCCCCTCCCGAAATTCCGTCGTCGATTGAGCTTCTTGCGTCCGACCGGTCCGATGGGTCCAGCCAATCTGGCAGTCAGTGGAGGACTCTTGGTGCTCTTGGTGCTCGAGGTGCTCTTGGTGCTCCTCGAGGTTTCATCCTTGAGTGTTAAAATTCTGACGATGCCGTTCTTGAATGCTATGGGGCTTGCAGGAAATTGGTGCGTCATATGGGTTAATTGGAAGGCTCGGATGATGATGATCTTGTCCGTAATTCAATTCCCGAGGGTTCCACATTCGAACTTTGCACCTCATTTGGATGTTATGTGATGGAACTCCCTGAAGTTTCGTGTTGAGGGATATGAGAAGTCTCTGATGACGAGGCGAATCTCCATCAGTGATGCGAAACGTGGCTGTTCGAAATTTCAGCGATTTGTCTCGTTTGAACGCTCGTACTGGATGGAACATCAATTAGCCTCGATTTAAAAAACCGCGAGTGTTTCACGAGTGGTGAACCGCGAAACCCTCATGATTGAAACATTCGTGAAAAGGGACTTGAGCTGGAAATAACTGGATTACGGAGTGACATGGAAGTGGTGTGAGTCGTGGTTGGTGAAACGGAGATAAATTGGCGGGAAACGGCGAATGCAAAGTTTATCCAGGGTTTCCAGGCTGACACTGCATTTATTAAGATACGTGGAAGGTTTTCCCATTCCTGATGATTAGTAAGAAATGCACTTTCAGACGGGGGATGGAGACGATCACTTCATTTCGTTTGACGGCACCTACTACGCCAGTAAGGACTGAAATAAAATTACGCAGGAAAAAAAGTAGAAGAGATGCTGCATCCATGTCAGCGTAATTTCCGGTCTCAAAACCCCGCAGCTGCACAGAGGCGACCGTCAATTCGCGACGATCGCGGCGAAGATGCCGGAGGCGATAAGGACAAAGGCGACCCCCGCGATCGAGGCCCCCCCCTCGCAGACGCATTGGTCCTTCACCGGACTGTTGCAGAAGTCCTGTTGGCAGAGGCAGGAAAAATTTGCACCTGGGATGATATCGGTCGAGAAGCATCTATCATCTGTTCCGGTGGTATATGGGACGCACATCCTCCTCACGACTTTGTCTGCACGAAGGAAATTCAATTTTTAATTACTTATCTTCTAAAATATGTCATGCAATTTTTATTTTTACTAACTTTTATTTCTTTATTTTTGCTAATTTTAATTAATTTTTTAAAAACATTTTTTATCATAATTATTTTTATTTAAATAGATGTTGAGTTGCAACAAAGAGGAGCCGACCTTTCGTATTGTCACTGTACCCCGTGCCGCAGAAGAATCTCTTTCCCTGAGGGGCCGTAAGGCTCTCGCAGTTCTGCACCTGCTGTTCGATCGCCTCTCTGTTGCACGAGGATCCGCTGCAGTCGTAGCATTTCAGCCCCGATGCTACAAATGACCAGATGAATTGGAAGGTGTCGAGATGAAAGTAAATCACGTACATGCGATTTTTAAGCGAAGGAAACCACATAAAAAAATGTAATCAGAATCTCCTCCATAACGAGGAGATAGTCCAGCATTAATTTTTTTTTTACCTCTTCAGGTTTCAAATCTGACTGCATCTTGAGCATCATAATTTAGAGCATTTATTAGCAAATGATTTACTTTTAATGTAAATTATCTCGCTGACACATGGTAAGGGACCCACCCTGCTCCTAATTTTTCTTTCGTTAAACCTAGCTATACATTCTCCCTCGTGGCGATTCGAGTGTTGAAAATTTCGAATGATGTCGGCACCGACTATTCCGTTGTTCTGCAAAACAATGGAATATTGATGCAGCAGGAGGGGGAGAGGGGGGTAGGGGAGGAGGGGGGGATCATGGCGGCTCCCGAACTCAATTCCTTCATGGGCCTTTCACGAAAATCTACTCGGAGGCATTCAATGGTAAATCGATGGTAATCGTAAGAGAGTGCGAATCCCACCATTCCACTTCGACGACTAGAATGATTGTACGTCTATGCCACGTCTATACCACGTTCATGCCATGTCTATGCCATGTTTATGCCACGGCTAAGGTACTTACTCGAGGGAAGGAGGAAGGCGAGGACGACGACGAGGAGCGCGAGGGCTTTCATCTTCTCAGAGTCCAAATCACCGAGAGTTTAAATCCGGGCACGGACAGCGAAGGCGGCTCTCACGAAGGCGGCTCTCACGGATCGACAACAGAGGAAGGCAGTACGTGCATGCTTATAATAGGACGTCGTTATCGGCACTGGTCGTGAGCCTAAATACCGAGCAGAAAAACCGACCGACTTCCGGCCGAAACACGCCGGGATTCATTCGCACCGATTCATGCCGGAAAGCGCCCGCGATTCCACGGCGTTTTTAAAAAGGACAGAAAACAATGACAGAACAAACGAAAAGAAAGCGGGGCAAAATGTAGGTCCACCGGAAGACGCACGCGAAAGAAGACTCGCGTGAAGGAAAGACTTTCCCGGTAAATGCCTTCTTTTCTCGCCGGGCTCTTTGCACTTCTCACTGGGCTCTTCGCACTTCTCACCGGGCTCTTTGCACTTCTCACCAATGATCCACGACCATCGACGTCGTCGACGACACCGATGATGTCACTCGCACATTTGCCGAATCCGAAGTTCCGCAATCTAACTAGAGATATCAGCAGTGACGCAGAATTTGCTCCAGAATTTGCAAAATCTCGACTTTCAAGCGAAAGAGAGGAAACGAAAGTTTGACAGCTTCGTCATTGAGGCTAGCCTGAATTTAAAGAAATTTAAAAAAAAAATGGACGGAACTAGACGAATTTTATGCATTCTGTGAACTCCGATATAAATTTTTGCATGATTTTAATTTTAAATTTAATTTTAATTTTAATTTTAATTTTAATTTTAATTTTAATTTTAATTTTAATTTTAATTTTAATTTTAATTTTAATTTTAATTTTAATTTTAATTTTAATTTTAATTTTAATTTTAATTAATATGCATTCAGGCGTGGAAACAGGCCCCGATGTAATTCCAGCGATTTTCATCTAGGAACCAAGTCGTGAATTATCTTCAAGAATAATTACCATGAAGAATAATTTTAATTACCTTACATAGCCGGCGATCCACCCTTTTCTTGCCGGCAACTTGTATCTTTAAGTTCGTGCAATTCTCCAAGACACATTCTGCATATCGTCTTGAAGCTGAAGTTCTGAGCCATCGAATGACAAAATTTGTCAGTTTCTTCGAATTTTTTTGCGATCGAGTGACCGATGGATTAAGGGAATCCCGGATATTGCATTAATTGGCTTAATCGGAGGCTCACTTCAATATGAGTAATCTGAGAGCATCGACGATTTTAGACGAAGGCCTCGCGAGGAAAAGCAGAAAAATCGGTGCCTCGCCCTTCACGGCGAAAATTCACCGCGAAGGGCGAGATGAATTTGCAGATTTTTTGACGGCTAAAAAATGGCTCGTGAGTTAGGGGAAAGTGGGGTGATACCGGACACCGAAGGAAAATCTGCACTGTAGGCCAAGAAGAGGGAATCGAGCCATTCAGTTTCTGTTTGTGAAAGAGTTGCAGTGTCGAAATCGAAGACGAACCCGTTGACAACTGGCGGGCTTTTTTCTTTTTTTTTTACTATAAAAGCAATGTTTTTAAAAAATTTCTTCGTCTGGATTTACCCCAGGAGCTGGAGTAAATCCGAACATTGTGCAAAAAAAATTCCAAGCAGAAATCGCACTCGTACTCTAGTCCACTCTCAAGCGCGGAGCTCATCACCCATTCCTCAAATTGCCAATTTCGAAAAACTTAAAAAAAAAAACACTTGTTACTTGCCAGCGAGTTTGTCTTTCATTTCAAGATATCATCCTTTGAAGGTCAGGTAAGGGGGGAAAATTGATGACACTATTCCAAAACCACCCACGTTGCCTTGCTTCATTGCCATCCTTGCATAAATCGTCTAAAGATCCAAAGCAGGCGTTGAAGTTCCCATGGAGATACACCCAAGCCATTAAAGCTTTTTCGAGGAGTCTCTTCTGTGTCTCTCTTCGCACCACTTTCTCCTTTCCGTCCCGTCCGGCACGCGTGGAATGCTAACCCTTAATCGGTCGCGTCCCTTCGGGCGCACATTAGTAGGATAAATAAGAGTTGGTTGTGCCTCAGTAAAGGATTACAGATCTCCACTCTGACTTTTTGTTCTTTTTTTTGTGTTTCCCGGGCATCTGAAAAGCATTATGATACGTAATTATCCAAGATAGGACGGCATAAGTATTACTTGGGCAGCACAACGGTAAGTCGTATTTTCTGCTAAGTTAATGCAATAGAATATGGAGTAAATCCGAACGTTCGGTTTCCCTGCCCCCCAACCTCCTCCCCCCCTCCCCTCCCCCCCCCCCCCCCCCCTCTCCTCCTCCCCCCCCTCCCCCCTTCGTCTGTCCGGATTTTGCCCACAGCACCGATGTTAAAGAAGCCCGCTCTCACGCACTTGCGAGAGGACGAATATCGTGGATTCCGTCTCTTTTCGAAAGAATAGTATTTAATCTTTTCCATGCGAATCTGTGAAATCTGATGCAACGCGGAGGAAGGCCACGCCTCTCGAGCAGTTTCTTACATCAATCGAGATTAAATTATTACGAAAGATATCGATTTTCTCGTGAAATCTGTTCAAATCACGGAAACAGTAGATTTCCACACTCGTCGAATCCTGTGCAGCGGCACAATTGGTTCTTTCGTCATGCGCATTCCAAATAGGTTATTTTGCGCCGTTCGGTGTTAATCCCCCCCTGAGTTTAAGATGATCCACGTCGATCTACGTGACGGTGGTTGTGGGTTGTGCTTATCGTGACGAGGGCCTTCGACGAGGATGAGTTGGGGAGAGAGACGTCGGGAATCGTGTGCAAATCCGGTTTTAGGGACACTATTTTTGGCACGATCTGGTATCCCGTTGCCGATGGGAACTCATGCGGCATCGGCAAAGGCAAAAAGAGCGTTGCAATCGATTTCGGAGACATGCCGATGAAAGTGTCAAAGAGGTACCGAAGAAGTACCGGGACTTCCAGGTGTGAAACGTTTAGAAGCGGTTAACCTCCCCGTTAACCGGGACTCGCCCGAGTCTAACCGCTCGCTCGGGTCAAGGTTAACGGGGGAAATCTCGGCACTTTGAGTTATTAAGGGAATCGATAACGTAGGGCGTGGCGAGTCTCTCCGAGTCGACGGTAGCGGCAGAACGAAACCAGTCCGAGTTGCGCAAACCTCCGGTTTACTCAACTTGAACTCCCGGTTACCCGCAGGTTGCGGAATGACTTATTTACATGCACGGCAGCGAATGTGGGGAACGCGTAGCGACGTAGTGGCCGCGTCGCTGTGAGTAACTGTAGGAGAATGTGCTCGCTCGAGAGTAACGCGGAGTAACGTTAAGTAACGCACTGTTTAAGAGGGGTGCGGGCCAGTATTGTTCTGCGATGGCCGCGCAGAAAGTAACTTTCGTCTGACTTTGGGATTTCTGACTGTTGGAAACTTTTTTGGCACGAATACATCAAATCAGGGACTGCTGAATCTGTATTTTTTGGCATATATATTTGCAATTCAAGAAGATTTTTAAAAATTGTCTAAGTAACCCTTTGCGAAAAAAAAAATGAATTGAAAAATAAAAAACTGAAAACTTCTGAAGATGTTTGCCCAGCATCCGCTCCAATCCTCGTAACGTTGAATCAAAAAGGAATTTCTGGATAAAGGGATTCATCTGCTTTCATCTGCAATGAACCATCCGCAACTTGCTTAATGAATTATTTTTTGGCATTGACTTTCTTTTTCAACAAGCACCAAAAAGGATATTTTTGCACAAAGATCACGAATCAATTAAGAGCTGGAATGTGTCCCAAAAATCACAGTAATGCCAAAAAAATCTTTTCGACAAGCGACTTTGCGGGCCCCCATTGACATTTCTCTCAGACTTTCAGTTTCCATTCCACTCGAGAGAATTTTTTTGTTGCTGTTGATGAGCTTATCTTTACTTCCAGTGAACATTTTATCACCTCCATATTATCATCAATGATAAACTATGGCCACTTCCAATCGGCAGATGGCCTCCCATATGGGTCTGTCACCGGTAGATGGCCTACCATATGGGTCTGTCACCGGTAGATGGCCTCCCATATCGGTCCTCGTTAGAGTCCCTGCGGATGTAGAGCCTGGCAAAGCTGAAGAAAGGGCGCCATATTCGCTCCACAGTGCACAGCCTCCCGTTCTCACCTGGTCGTTTCTTTCTCAAATCGTCCGATTTCCTAATGTGAGGCACGATCGTAGAGGATGGATTCCATATTCATAGGACAAGATGCACTGACGAAAGCTGGGGAATGTATTTTTATTATCGCCAGATGCCAATTTCAAGGTAGCTGGATCCCACCAAGTTGAAATGAATTTAATTGTTTTTTATTTCCATGGATTCTGGTCGTCAGACACCTCGCAGAAATTGCAGCCCAAGATAATACAACGAAGACTTTATACAAGTCTAGGTCAATGATAAAAAGTCTCTTTTAGACAGAAATACATACAAAGATTTTTGAAACTTTGATGTGTTGGCTTTTGGATGGAGAATACCATTTCTGGTAACAGGACCACTCCGTTGTCCAATGGCTTTTTCTATGTCTGGTCTCAAAGAATGATCTGCACTCCTTGAAATGCACAAGGCCAGGGCAGTGCCTAGAGAATTTTCCTTCGCGACAAAATCGATAACACACCTTGCTGTTCGTGTTGGATACGGCGGCAAGCCTGCGCAGCGATTTCGAAAGAAAGCGTTTCCTTTCCTCGGTCAAATATCCAGAATCCATTGATAGGGCATATAATAAACAAGACAAAATGAAATATTCCACAAAGTCCACTACTGCTTGATTGGAGTTACGAACATTCCTGAGAAGACGAACCGCGAATATTGATCTCGGGAAGCATTTCTTGCTAACGTCTTCGGCTTGGTTCTTAAAAGTCAGGCCAGTATCCATGGTCATGCCCAGGTATTTCGTACTGTTCGACTGAGCCACCGACGAACCTCGGATTTTTATTTGTTTCCGCCATTCCTCAACGACCTTTTTCTTTTATTTGAAGACTATTCCCGCAGATTTTGTTGGATTCAAAATCAAACTTGAGTTTTCCGACCGGGTTTGAACATGATCGATTTCTCGTTGGTATGCCGTTAGATCTTCTTTGTTGTTGATACGTTGACTGTATCGCCTGCATATTTTAAGATGATGCAGTTCCTTTCAGTCGCCTTGAGTGGATCAGTTACAAAAGAATAAAATTGAGGAGACAGAACCCCGCCCTGAACTACTCCTGTCACCTTACCTTGAGCAGCGGAATTCTTACGCAATTTGACATACTGAGTGTTGTCTGAGAGGTAGTTCACCGCTTCACAAGTTGGTTCCCTCCGGGTCACCAATGTCTGTCTGACGACATGTATACATTTTTATTATTTTTTTAAATTTGTGTCATGACTCAATTAAAAAGGCTTCTACACTCTATCTTGAAAAAACAGTTCCAACTTACCTATTGCGTCTTTTACAGACACCCTTCAAACCTCTGTTTCTTAGGAAATCGATTTTACATTCCCTGTTACCTATTGTAACAGCGAATATGAGTCAGAAGTAATGCAAACTTGTATTTGAAATAATGAACAAAGATGATCTGCCCTTAGTTGGAATGGGTTGAATTATACTTGACTATAATGGGACTTAGCTGATGATGGAAGCAGAAATTTTTTTTGTTGCTAACTAACGAACATATCTCTACCATGTGCATTTGTTTGTATGGTCAGAAGTGCATGCATTTTCTCTGACATCAGATTTCTATCAGTGATCTCATTTAACCCCACCCGTTTGCAGCCGATTGAAAAAATTATCATTAATCGGTATAATGAAAATCTCCAACTACCTGTTCACTGACTGGAACAGGTAGTTGGAGATTTTCAAACGTCAAACTGACGGAAGCGATGCAAGTTTCAAGACCATCTTCAAGCTACAACGGTGCTTAAAAATACTTCAGATGTAGCCTAATTTCAAGACCTAAATAGGAATTTTTTTTAGAGCCAATGCACAATGTCAATCAGACAAGGAACTTCAGCTTCAGAAACGTAGTTGAATTTTCAAGTCTCTGAGTGAAGCGTGAGAGTGAATAAGACGTGAAGACTGGAGAAAATGTCATATTACGAATGATCACACAGACCCCGACGCCCAATTTCACGGGGTAAGTGTGATCATCGGTCTTCCTGTGTCCAAGCTTAGCACGTATCTGCATGGGACTAGTGGAAAGAACATAAAAGCTTTGTCATGATACTGCTCGTACTTTGCCATGATACAAAAAATTAAATTGTATTATGGAGTTCTGATCGTACAGGGAAAGTTAAATGAAGTGTACCCAATTAAGTACTGGAGTTGAAAGTGGGTACTCTTATATTCAGTGATATATCTTTCAGTTGAACCGATGAAATTTTATGAGATATACAACTCAGGATTAGCATGACAGAGTACTTCGTAGTGCATTCTTCTTTGATTCTCATTCTTTGATGGGAAAAGGCACTTGTAAATACCAGAAATTAGTATGGATCACCCTTACCCCGAATGACCTTATGACGTTAATTTAGGCGGAGCTTCAGAGGCCTAACCTGAATTCACACCATGAAGGCTCCGCATTCGCATAAATTTCAACCCCTTATAGTTGGGGCAACGTTGTCCCGACCCCCAAAGGGGTCTTACCGGATCGACAAAGCTTCATGTTATGGTTGCCTCACATGAGCGAGATCAATCTTACGGCTCCTAATTTCACGCTTCGCTTTCGCTGCCCAGGGGGATTTTCTACGAACGGATCGAAAACAGGAACAACGGAGCATTATGTAGTATTATTGCTCTAGAATCAGCGAGAAAAGCCACTTCACGTCCATTTTTTGGACCATGTTCATACAGCACAGTTCATGGAGCGAAAATGGCGCCTTTTTCTAGGCCAGACTCTCCAGGGGCTCTAGTCCTCATTTTCCAGGGGCACAACCAATGGGGAGGGGGGGGGGGGGATCCCTGCTCATGATGGTATCTCTCTACTTCTCCATCCCCCTCTGCCCCAAGGGAAGGGGGGGGGGGATTGAGAAAGATGTTATGGGCAAACGACCTGAGAGCGAGGCTGGAAAGGCACAAAGATAGGAGATGAAAGGCGAAGGTCACGCCAGTCGCATGTAGCATTCACTGTAGTAAAGTGAACATGTGAAGGAAACGCCCTGCACGTGTGACGCTTCTGAATTTTTCCTGAAAACGGAAGGACAATTCAAATGAAAGACGTGAATTACGTACATGTTTACGAATTTCGAGTTACTTATCTGGGCGGTGATATTTGGGTTGGATCCCGAAATTAATTCAGTTCATTTAAAGATTTTTTCAGGTGTAAAATGTGCTTTTATCATTTAGTGTTCGAATTCCGTTTCCACCATTTCATTTTAAAAATTTTCTGTTTCTTTTTCTTTGTGGTTTCGCGTTTTCGTTGAGAATATCTGTCCTGATGATTTGATCCCGACTTCTTGCATTCGGAGACATTTAAAAGGCGTGAGAACTTCGAATCCCCCCAAAACTTTAGGGTTGTGCCGCTGTTTCATTTTCAAATGACTGACCTTCAAATTCGCGCAGCCGAGTTCGTATTGCCCGATGGGCGAGAGCCTCTCGAGACGTGAATCAAATTTGCACGCTTTTGTGGTGCGGATTCTCTGAGCTGCTTTGCAAAAATACAGGGATAATTTCGAAGCGGCATTTTATTGGCCACGGTGCGGCGAGGCCCATTGGCCTTGCCATTGGCCTAGTCATTGGCCTTGCCATCGTAATGGACTCTCGACTCCCGTCGTCGAGGGACCCCCCCCCCCCCCCCCCCCCCAATTTCTTCACGAATCCAGTTGAAAATCGGTTTGGATCTGGAGACAGGGTGCCATTGCTCCAAGTGAAAGGAAATTCTCTGAAGTGAACCGAAAATAGCAAGAGCGAACCATCAAACATCCTTGAGACCCGGATGAGGCCTTTATTTTGGGAAAATACAGGCGGGAAGCGATACGTGTTTCCTCCTTCGAGGCTTTTATCTTTCAGGGTTGCACTGGGACTATCGAGTGCATGGAGGAGAGGAAAGAGGAGAAGAAGGGATAGGGAGAGAGGAAGAGAGGGAGAGAGGAAGAGAGGGAGAGAGGAAGAGAGGGAGAGAGGGAGAGAGGAAGAGAGGGAGAGAGGAAGAGAGGGAGAGAGGAAGAGAGGGAGATAGGAAGAGAGGGAGATAGGAGGGAGAGAAGTAACTGTCCAGATAAAAATGGAAACCGACAGGAAATAGTGGCATTCACGCCTTCTCGGTTTCATGCAGGGAATTAATTTCTCCAACGAATGCCGGGATTCCCAGCTGTGGAGCGAATTTCCCGGGCACGAGCGCGGCCTTCGCCACCCTCTTCCTGCATTTCCTGCGTTTGCGATTCGGGGATTGTCTTTGTTTCCACGGATTTCTTTTTTTTTCGATTTAACTTTAATTCCTTTAAATTCTGTTTCTTCCGAACGCGAGGAAGTCAGAAAAGCGTCGATATTAACTCGTTCCGGTAAGTAATGAAATGAGGGTCGAGTGACTAGCAGCCTTTTTTAAAGCGAGGCAGTCGTGACAAGTAAAATACAAGTACTTTTTGACCCCAGCAAAAAAAAAAACTGAAAGCACCCAGACGACCGTGAGATTCCCCCTTTCGCCCTCGATTACGCAACTTTGCTTCGTAGAATTCTTTAAGATTCCCCCTCGACGACGGGAGTCGAGAGTCCATTACGATGGCAAGGCCAATGACTAGGCCAATGGCAAGGCCAATGGGCCTCGCCGCACCGTGGCCAATAAAATGCCGCTTCGAAATTATCCCTGTATTTTTCATAACATAGAGGCTGATTTTTTCAATTTGAAATTATATGACAATGTTTCACGTTTTACCACTGCTAAGCAAATTCTTCACAATAGAGCGGTCGTTTACGATTCGCGAGGAAACTGTCTTGATTTCCGAGGCAATTTTCTCGGCCACGTGGCCATTTCTGCTAGGGGGTCTGTGAAACGTGAGATGGGACGGTACATGCAAATATGGCGAATATTAAATTAACTTAATTTACTGGTTAATTGATTAATAAATTATACATATTAAGTTGGAGCGGAATCGATCAAACTCTTTTCCTTTCCGATAAAATTGTTTCAATAACTAACGCGAGTCATTTCGCATCGTTAAAATCGGAAATGGGAAGAGACGGGTCGGTGCAAAATTGAAATAATTTGATGCAAAATTTGCTGGCGCTGTGCCATCCCGTGCTGCGGGGACCACCCAGCAAAAGGGTCGTGTTGCACACGCGTGACGTCACGGGAGCGGCCGTAAGGCGCAATAGAAACTTGTGGAAATGCACGCGATCCGATCGTTTCAGGCTCCGACGGGAAAGGGCGAAGTCGTGGTTCCGTGTCCGATTTTTTCGTTCTCGATGACGTCATGGAGATTGTCGCGAGAGGGTTCTCCGTGAAGTCGTCTGTAAAAAAATCCGTCGATTGGGATTGTTCGTGGAACGTGACATCGCGACACGACATCGGAACGTGACTTCGCAGCTCGATGACATCGCAGGGTGATGACATCGCGACGCGATGACGCCATTGCGAATTTCCTCGGCGAAGTTCGAGAATGGAAATCCCGCGGTCATTAACGGGAATAGAGGCGGAAAACGATCGCGGTCGGTCGGAGATGACTCGACAGCCGGAGCAGATAGACCCAGTGGCCGACATTCCCTCCTGCCGACATTCCCTACAGAAGTAGGGCTCGAGCGGTGTGGCTCCGCTCTTTCACTTTCACCGAGCGGAGCTTTCTCTTTCTGCTTCCTCCGTCGCTCGCCGGGGCTTATCGGTTTTCTTTCCGTACTCCCACGTGTCCGTTGTGGGGTCGCGGTGGTCGGTGAGGCTCGTTTCAAGCGTTTCAGATGGGATGTCTGTGTCTGAGGGGGGAGGACTTGGGCTGCGATTGCGTTTTATTGCGATGGGTGCTTTTCTGTGGCTCTTCGTTTTTATGCTTGTTTGTGTGTTCGGTTGTATGTAACGTTGGGAAATGGGAGATGTTAGAGTGAATCATTTAACCAAAGTGAAACGGTCGTTTAGGGGAGGGGGGGGGGGCGTTATTATTAATAATTACAGTGCATGTAAATTATCATAGTTTTTAGTGTAACAAATATAAATAGAAAATGCGCTTCGGCGAAATTGATATAAGTTTTTTCAACATTTGAACAATAATTTTATTCCAATTCTATCCGACAGGATATCCATACGAGAGGGCTTAAGACTTTTTCTTCCCTCGTAGATACGAGACGGTGCCTCGAATCGACGTACGCAGGTGAATGGCCTAAACAGGAAGAAGGTGCGGCATGGTGCCCCTGATGCACCAGGTGGTGACCCTGGGTACCGTCATCATGCTGGTCTCCCTCGTCTACGACACCTACCGGCAACCCAGCGCCTCGCCCGAGCCGGACGCGGAAGACTCCGACGTCAGGAAACGATCCGATGGTAAGTGATCTTGTGACAAAGGACTACAGGACTGGGGAGACTTGAGCGAGGAACGAGATGGGAGCCGGTAATTGGATCAGAACTGGGGGGGAAGGGGGGGGGGGAGTGAGAGCAATATTCAAATGATTCACTCTTTCTTGACGTCCCTAGAGGAAACGGGGGAGCCCTTTCTTCATCACTTTCCATCTATAGACGGTAGCATATAAGTACATCCACGTGAAATTGGATTCAATCGAATCAAGTCTCCCTACCCATTATTATGCTCTTCTGAAACGTCTGAATCAGCGATTTCTCCTCGTCCCGTGTCTCTCCCCTGTTCTCAGCCCGTAAACACAATCATCATCCCTCCACGACCATAATCACCGAGAAATTGCGCCAGGTCGAACAACCCTGCATGCAAATCGAATGGCGGAACCCAGTCGCGCTCAGTCGACAGGACTGGAAGCGCGTCGTCCCCGATATGACATCCGATCGTTTTTCCCTCCGCTCGCCTCCGTGGGAGGTCGAACGAATGAACGAACGAACGAGTAGTGATGTGATGCCGCATAAAGGATGGGGAATGTCGAGGACCCGGCAAGCCGGACATCTCCCATTTATCCTCTCGTCCACTTCCTGCTATTTATTTCCTTCTCGGTGATTTTTTTTTCCGACGATCCTAATTTGATTTCGATTCTTTGCAGCTTGCATCTATCGCTTCATCTGCGAACTCCACTCGACAGACGACATTCTCAAGTACGGGGGGACAGGTCTAACCTTCCTCAAGTTTTTCAAGTAATTTTTTGTTGTTTTTTTTCCCCCAGTTTTCTCCTATTAATTTTTTTTTAAATCGTGATTTTAAATTGAATTCCTCTGTTGCAGGTCGAACCCGGTGCTGGAGCGCCCCTTCAGCGGATCCTACAACTATTACTTTGCGGCTCACATGGGGCATTTGATGAGAGGGGGGTCGGGCGGAGGCTGTCCTTTCCTTTTTCCTTCGTGCCCTTTACGGGGAGAGCAGGTTGCCAAGGTCCTTTCCTCCGTCGAGTCCCTCAGGACGTTCTGAGCCGTTTAATCTCTCGGATTTCCTTCCACTTTTCGCGATGATGCCGACGATCCCGGTGATGCGCGATGACGGTGTCTTTGGCTTCGTAATATTTAATTATTCAGATTTGTGCTAGTCAAAATAAATTTAAAATGGAGACGAAGGCGAAATGCCACCTTTTATGCGTTGAGCCGAAGGGGAAATCATTGTAAAATGGCATTTTTTGAAAAAGATGCTCGACCAGTGTTGTTCAATTATTTCTACCCGTGACTTCAAATCCTTTTTTCACGGAAGGACAGCAGAATGTACTAAACTCCTTTTGAAATTAAATTTCAAAGGTAATTGATTACTTTTCAACGTTGATTGCAATCGAACACTTCTTTTGTGCCATCGCCGATATATTTGCATCATTCTAGAAGTGCAGTGATTAGAACTTGCCATTTAAAAAAAGCTAGACAACCCTGAAGTGAAGTATCGTTATAGACGGAGCAATAATTAGGTAATTAATAGCTGTTTCCACCTTCAGATATAAAACTCCCTTGAAAAACGATTTAATCACATCTCAATAGCTTCGATTAAAACAGCAACTCAATTATCTTGAATTACTTTTGAAAAAAAAAGGCACTTTAAACTTCAAGGACTGAGACACGAATACTTGCAAAAAAAAAAGATTCATCGTCCTCTTATTTTCGATGATTGCAATAATTAAGTGAATCCTTGAGACGATCTCGATTGCAGGGATTCAATATGCCAAGGGTTATTTCCACTTTCGCTTCGGTTGGAACCCGCCCTGCGTTTCGATCGACGGCTTTTCCTCGGCGTTCTTTAATGCATGGCCCGGAAGGAAAGAAAGTGGAAGTGACGAAAGTGGATCGAGGGGATTTTCCGCTCTGGTGGCAAACGAGACGAACGAGATGAACCATGTGTGCGTGAGTTAGATTTCAGTTCACTTTGGAGAAGGATCCAGAGGAACCCGCACGAGTTCATGAAAACTTTAGAGAGGCGAAAGGAAGCATCAGGTTGCTTTTCGGAGATGCCACAAGGTCAAGGTCAATAAGGCAATTCGAGCTGGCGACGATAAGGTCCAAATGCTGAGTGCGTCTGGACTCCCACGATGTGGACCGATTTGAATTTGGGAACGGTGACTCGCTTTTCTTGTCTCTCTCCCGAATATATTAGGACCGTCGATTCGAAAGGAGTTGCAGCTGGCCGTGCTGAACACTGGCTGGATGAGGAAAAGTAAGTGAAGAAGTATGTCTCGGCCCTGAGTCATCTGGCATCGTGAACAGTTCTTAATGGTTTCACGTTTCACTGCCGGTCATTTCGAGGAAAAGTCTCTGTCAGCACTCCACCCTTAATTTTTCTATCAGCATTTTAATATTAGCGCCTTGTCATTAACTGCTTGTCGTTTCACTGTGATGCGCTTTTCACTGCAATGGCAACCAACTCATAGGAGCATGATGTTTTGTTTTCGTCATTCGGTTCTTAAACGACGAATCGTGTCACCATGGTTCGATGATTGCGGTCACAGGCTAACAACCTGGGAAAGTCCAGGTTCGAACCCGACGAGCATCAGGCAGCTTCTCCTCGGACAACCAGGCTGGTTTCGGATGCTCTGCTCGATCTTTCGCTCAGGCACAAGCCACACTTCGCTCCACTGTGGAGCAGTGGGGCATGGCGGACTCGAACCTCACACGTCGCCGTGGCCAGCCCTGTGCGGTGGATGGACCTCAATCGCGAGGGGCGTGGAAGGTCCCACCACCTTCCACAAAAGGGACATCCAGATTTTGAGATCCTGCGGAGGCGTAGGAAAGCTGCCAGGGATGTCTTAACGACAACTATGCGTTCTGGTGGCCTTGGCACCGTCCTAGTATGGAGTCTTTCACCGTCGATGTAATTCGACCTCATGGAGTTCGTTAGATTTTTTTGCTGCTAAGTTTTATTCTATGAGCTGATTCCTGTTTCTGTGAACATCATTCTTGAAATCCTCTTGATCACTTCAAAATCAGCTTGAAGGGTCTGCTGACAAATCATTCCCATCTCCGCCAAAAACATGTGGAATTTCCCTCTGTGCACTTCATCTCTGCTTATTGGTTAAGTAAACGAACAAATTTAGAACGATCTGTCAATCTCGGGCGAAAACCCAAGGGAGCTAAAAAGAAAAAGACTCACTGCTAAGATATCGAAACTTACGATGCACTGGAGTATTGATACTATCATACCAACAAGGAAGCGGGAGGGTAAATACTCCCATTTATTTGAGTGTTGAAGTAAAGGACACATCTCCCCCCCCCCCCCCCACCAACCCCCCTACCCCTTCACCCTTGTATCTCCTGGTATTCCCGAGACAAAACAAAGGCCCCGGAAGTCATGACCATGAAACGGACTCGATCACCCCAACGGATTACGAAACGGACCCGATCGGCAGGAAAACTTGTGGCCGATGAAAGGAACGGTTGTCCTCGAAAAAGGCGGATCGAATCGGTCAAAATGAACGAAGAGGAAGGATTAGGAAAGCCGGAAGAAAGAGGAAATAAAAGAGATTAACAATTCCACCTCGACGAAACCGAGAGGAAGAAGAGCGTTGCTCAATTAAAGGCCTTGGGACACCCCATCCCCTTTGCCCCCCTTGCCCCCCTTGCCCCCTTCCCCCGCCGATGCCGAATTCACTTTCACGGGTGGGCAAGGTCAAAACACCCAAGTCATTCTTGGGCATGGGGCTTAACACGTGGAGACAATTGAGGCCCATATTCCTCCAAGGACTCCTCTACGGAAATGAGTGGATCAACAATCGTCTAAACGAGTGGTAAATAGAGGAAATAAAAAGGTGAGAGCGAGAAATTTAAGAAAATTTGAGTTCATGGTAACTGGAGAGAAATTGAATGCAATCGATTAGCTTCGTAATTCGAAAGAGTCTGTTGGAATTAAAAAAAAATCTTATAAAAATATTTTATTCTGATTCGGCTCAATGTTCCAAGATCGGGCTCCGATTCGTCCTTGATAATTTAAAAGGAGTGGCGACACGGATTTGAGTCGGATTTCATCAGAGCCTGGCTGGAGTATATCCGGGAGAAGGAGAACCTAAAAATTGTTGGTAGCTTCAATGACAGACCGAGATCCCTGTCTTCAGCGGAGTTTTTTTTATCGGGGAGAATACGGAATGCAGAGGAGCCGGAATCCCGTGCCGCTGGTGCAAACAGTACTTACAGGTTCTTTTTTTTTTTAACGGTTCGTGAAGGAGGTGAATAGTGATGCAAGGGATTCTGTCGCATTGTGTGGATTAGTCGCAGCATACGTCGTAGCATGTTTCTGCGTTTTATCCGAGTTCGTTCTCGCCACACAAAAATCTGCCAGGTGTCATGTTGCCACGGAGTTGCTCAATGTCGCTTTCACCCTGCTCACGAGGGAATGAGACCATTCTGCGGTGCGTTTCGTAAAGTTAAGGGGCTTTTGGCGAAGGCTTTTACGACGTTGTCGTTTGCGTTGCCGTTTGCGACCGTTCGGGATCGCCGACGTTCGTCGGCATTTCTGCTTGTTTTTCGCGGTGTCGATACTGACAATGGAATTTTCGATATCCGATTTCGCCTCGTCCAAGTGTCGTCTCGAAAAAAAAAGACGAGAGATCGACCCGAAGATCGACCCGCCCATTCGCCACCGATAATGCGTATAATGATGCGACAGTCGAAAATCCATCGATTTCTCTGAGTCGACACAAGTCAAATAAAAGAAGAATGGACCGGTATTGACTCGAAACGATATCGGCTTGGACGGTATCACCGTTTCATCGATATCGGCTTGGACGGTATCGGTTTTCACCGGTATCGACTCGAAACGATATCGGCTTGGACGGTATCACCGTTTCATCGATATCGGCTTGGACGGTATCGGTTTTCACCGGTATCGACTCGAAACGATGAGCCCCTTCCTGGTGATTAACTTTATTCCAGTTTTATTCACGCAGAATGTCATGGGGCTACCGTCTTCGTTTTATCTTTCTTCCTGCTCTTGCGAAATCAGTTTTTCTCCGACCTTAGAAGCCAGTTGACGTGGAAGTGTGGAAGTCCTCAAAAGCACCGAAGAAACAATTTCCTTCTCTTCAGGATCCACACGAAGCATCCGCGTTTGGAGTTCATGTGCTTACAGGCGGATGTTGCTCATAGGTGGATGCTGCTTAGAGGCGGATGAGATGCATTCGACGGAACTTCGCAAGGAGAATCGCGGGAAAATGGCTACCTATCGGGATCGGAAGAGGCGACCGAGACCACCGGTTTGCATCGCGACCGCGACATACGCGACTGACTGCTGGCCTTGTGGCTCTTTTAAGGCCGGAAAACACGAATTTCGGGGCGGGGGGAGGGGGGAGGGGGGGGG